CACTCCCATTTACTGGCTTCATCCCCGCCTCCTTGACCTGTCTGTCTTCTCTCCACCTATCTGCTCCTCTATCCATCTTCCATCATCACCTCCCCCTCTCTCTCTTAATTTCAGAGTCCCCTTCCCCTCCCCCATTTCTGAAGAAGGGTCCAGACCCGAAACGTCAGCTTTCCTGCTCCTCTAATGCTGCCTGGCCTGCTGTGTTCATCCAGCTCTACATCTTGTTATCTCAGACTCCAGCATCGACAGTTCCTACTATCTCTGCTGATTAGGAAATTTGTCCTGGGTAGTGTTAAGTGTTTTTGAGAGAGTGTTTTATAGGTTTTAGTCATCCAAGCAAGTAACAAATATTGCCTCACAACTGTGTTGACTTCTAATTGATGGAGAAACTTCATGCCCTTTAATCACAGTATTGACATGGTTCAATTAAGGTTCAAGGAAGTTGTTATGCGGGAACCTCATTAAAAAGGGTGAGGTAGAACGTTATTTCCTGTTGGATATGATTGCCTGATACTTACATTGCTTGTTTATCACCTTAAGCCTGGATGTTGTCCAGTGCTTGTTTTAGATTGCTGTGGGAAACGCCATTATCAGAGGGCTTGTAAATAGAGCTGAACATTGTAAAATTGTTGATGAGCAACTCTTCTCTAATCTTATGATGATGAGTAAGATCTAATGCAGTTGAAGGTGATTTCATCACAGCTACTGCCCTGAGGAACTCCAGCAGCAATGCTGTGCAAGGTAACCTTCAATGACCATGCCAACTTCATTTTGTGTCAGGTGTTAATGTAACCACTTTCTCTTTAACCCCTCAGTTGACCTCAGTTTTGGTACAGCTCCTTAGGGTCATGCACTCAATATCATGCTGCCTTAAGGTCATGGGCAATTACTCTTATCTCTCCTCTTGCATCATCCTCTTGTATTCAAGGTGAATGGCTGCCCATCCTGATTCAATATTCACTAAATGTCAATGCACACCCATTTTCTAGACAAAAAGGTGTGTTGTTGGATTGTGAATAGGAGTGAGAATTATTGCAGAAAGCTCAGTGACAGCCTTGGCAGTTCAGGGATTGAAGCTCTGACTTTCCCGGCCTGTAAAGCACCTAATGCATTTTCTACTTTTGGAAATGAAGAAACTAATTTTAAACCTAAATCATTGTGTCTGAGAGAGGATGAAGATAGTTGGCGATGTGCAATTACTTTAAAAAGTGAAGTATTACCGTTTCCACAGTACCATCAGAATCATTCTAGAATCAGACTCATAGCACAGTTACAACACCGATCTTTTGGCTAAGATCCAGTCAGCATCTGTTCTTATCAGTTTAATGTCTGATACATCCCTTAACTGGGGACCATATTAAATTGATTTTTGGAGCAGGGAGATGGATAGGAAGTTTCTGAAGAAAGGCAGTGGAACTCAAAAAAGTTGTGTTTTCTCTCTACAGCTGCTGCAAGACCTGAATTTCTCCAGCAATTTCTGTTTCTGTTTGTTTCAAATCTCCAGCATCTGCATTTAATTTTAAGAAAATGTTTCTCCTAGTTTTATGTTTCTGGTACTGGAGGAGCATCAAATAGAGTAAGATCTGCTGAGGAGTGGTACACACGTGACCTGGGAGTCTGTCTGGTTATAGATCCACTCAAATGCGTTGGAGTCCATTTGTTGAGTGTGCTTCACTCTTTCCAATTTTCCTTTATTAAGACTGCTCAGGTGATCCAAACACCCCATGAACCATAGGAGCTAATGTTCCCTTTAAGTTTTAACCCTTTAAGTTTTGAAAGTGCTGGCAGCCCTTAAAACACTGATATGTGCAAAACAGGTTTGTTTGTGTGTGCATGAATTGAAGAGCAATTGCAGATGCACTAAGTGTTTCCCTCCTACATGCTTAGGAGACATTGCACATGCAACTCATTTTGCATTGTAGTAACAAAAGGTCGGCGTCCTAATTTAGATGGTATATTACTTGGTGATTTTCACAGGTGGATTCAAAAACAATGTGAAGAGCAAGGATCTCAAATAATAGAACTTCATTTATTTGGTTTATTCTCAGGAGGTAGATGAGGTTTAGTAAAGGTTTTTCAGTCATCCATTCAGGAACAAGCTAGTTCCCTCCCTCCCCTACCCCTGTCATAATATTCAACTCTTTTTTAATCATTCAGGGGTTTTCCTAGCTTGTTAATGTATAATGGAACAAAAACAGAAGTTGCTGGAAAAGCTCAGCAAGTCTGGCAGCATCTGTGAAGGAAAAAACAGAGTTAACGAAGGGTCACCGGACCGGAAACGTTAACTCTGTGTTTTTCCCTCACAGATGCTGCAAGATCTGCTGAGCTTTTCCAGCAACTTTGTTTTTGTTCCTGATTTACAGCATCCGCAGTTCTTTCAGTTTTTAAGTATAATGGCTTCTGTTAATGTCTTTCAGGTCTCCAGAGCGCTCCCATATTGATTTATGTGCTTTCTTTCAGTGGGTGTATAACATTCTGGAAAAGAAGGCAGAAGCTGACCGTATAATTTATGAAAATCCAGATCCTCAAGACGGTTTTCTCCTGATTCCAGACTTAAAATGGAATCAGAAACAGGTAGGATTGTGTATGAGGAGTCAGTTTGTTCCATCGGGATATGTGAACTGGCAAGGCTATATACATTGTCCAGCCCTAGTTACCGTGCAGGTGTGAGTCATCTTCCTAAATCACTATCATTCTTGTGAAGATGACTATCCACTTTTACGTGGGAAGGCCCTGAACCAGCAACAAAGAAGTAACTTTAGTTTAAGACCTCATGGGAATGATGTACGAGTTGGAGAAATTTGTGAGGTGTTCCTCCGATTTTACTGCACTTGTTCCCAACAACAGAGTCAGCAAAGTTGGAAGTGCTGTTAAAGTAAGCTTTATATAAACTACAAATACTAATGTTTGTACAGAAAAAACATTTGTATCTTATGCTGGACCCAGATATTGCTGGCTCCCTTCTAAAATACTGTTGCGATGACCCATGTGCTGGGAATAATTTCTTTTGGGGAGTTGGGAGATGTATTACTAATGTCATTGAAAATCCAGAACGCCAAGCTAATGTTCTAGGGAACATGTGTTACGTGGCAGATGGTGGAATTTGAATTTAGTAAACACTTGGAATTAAAATCTAACGTGATGGTGACTAGATATCTACTGTTGAGCGTTGTAAAAACTCACCTGGTTCACTGATGTCCTATAGGAAAGGAAATCTGCTTACATGTAGCTCCAGACCCACAGAAATATGGTTGACTCTTAAATGCCCTTTGAGCAATTAGAGAATAGGCAATAAATGCCAGCCTAAAGAGTGATGCCCACATCCAGTGAATAAAAACATTTGTTTTGTGCAAAGTCACTTTAAAAGCAAAGCGGACTGCAGAGTATTTTGAAAGAGGGTTAGTTGGTTTCATGATATGAAGCTATTAGATCCCAAGAAATGCTCATGTGATCTGGGAGATGTTAGTGTGAAGATGAACAGCTCAGAAACAAAGGTTAAATAGAAGGCTAACTGCAATGATATGGGATCAGCCTGCTGGTCAGTCTAGAAAACTAGGAATTGTGAAAGGAGAAAACCTTTACAACCAGAGGAATCCACAGACACATTTGTAGAAGCACGAAGAAGAGCTCTGCCAGTTTACTCTGGGTGGACAGGAATGAAACCAGGTGTGGTGAATCCCATCCAACTTGATGTTAGGGATTGGGATTGAAAGAAAATGGACATGTTAAAGATTGAAGAAAAAGAATGGATAGTTTGCCATTACCAAGTGATATAGAATTCATTTGTGAATTCAGTAAAGGCTCGCTGAGTGTGGGAGCAGATGGACACAGACTTGGAAAAACACATTTGAGGACTTTGATGAAGAAAGGGAGTTTGGAAATAGGCTATTGGAAATAGGACAGAGGTGTTGAGAGGAGATTTACCAGGATGTTGCTTGGGCTGAAGAGAAGATGGACAAGGGAGACTGAGGGGACCTATGATTGAGATGTATGAAATTATGAAGGCCATATACAGGACGGACAGGAAAGAACTTTTCCCCTTAATGCGGGGAAATCAATGACTGGGGCATACATTTAAAGTAAGGGCCAGGAGGATTAGGGGTTTATAAGGAAAAATATATGTCACCCACAGGGTGGTGGGCATCTAGAACTCTGTCAGTTTAAGGTTGGTAGAGGCAGAAACCCTATAACATTTAAGAATTATTCAGATGTGCACTTGGAATGCCATGGCATAAAAGGCTATGGGCTAAGTTCTCAAGAATGAGATTAGAATAGTTAGGTGGTTGCTTGACACTGGCATGGGTGCAATGGATTGAAGGGCCTTTGTCTGCTGTAGACCCCTGTGACTAAAAGGGAGTTTTCTGAGGAGTGGGTGATGATGGAAGGTTTCAAGTAGAGAGCAACAATCCCTGAGTAGCAGGAACTATTAATAATATTAGGTTTTATGGGGTCACAAAAGACATTAATTAGTCAACTGGATAGTGAGAGTGGGGTTGAGAAACAAGAAGTTGGTCTCATGGAGAAATGAATTTGTACAGGAAGTCAGGGAAGAAAGGAGAGAAACTAGAGAAGGATGCAATTTCAGGGCTAGTGGGGTGAATATTAGAGAAAGAGTGGCCCACCCATATAGAAGAGAGGTCTCAACATCAGTGATAGAACTTCAGGAGATCCTTGTACTCCCTGTTGAAGGTGGAGGGGGTGAGACACAAATTTTGAAGAAGTCAGCTTGCAGTGGTGGTAAGGAGAAAAAGCCAAGGATTATTGCTGCATTCCTGGGACAATGATCTGTTTTTATGCAGAACCTGTTGGTGATGAATAATTAAAACATTGTCTGACATACATGTTATGAAATCTAAGGTATTCATCAATTCCATTGTATACTGCAGGTGGATGACCTATACCTAATCGCTATTTGCCAACGGCATGGGCTGAAGTCACTGCGGGACCTAACAGGAGAACACCTGTCAATGTTGCAGAATATATTGCAGGAAGGACAGGTGAGTTTCAAAAAGACTGAGGCTGAACCAGACTGTCTGCTATCTTCATGTTATATCTGATCATGGGATAAACCTCCTTCATACATTCACATCATTTCTAACACCAGCTGTTTCCACCTCCGCAACATCGCACAACTCCAACCTTCCCTCAGCTTATACATTGCTGAAACCCTCATCCATGCCTTTGATACTTCGAGACATAATTATTCCAATGTGCCACTGGCTGGTTTCCTACATACAATGCTCTACAAGCATGATATAATTCAAAACTTTGCTGCCTGTGTTTTAACATCATTCCTCTCACCCACCTTCTCTGTGTTTGCAAGACAAGTTTTGCTACATTGGTTCCTAGACAAGCAACATCTTGGTTTCAAAATTCTCATCATTGTTTTCCAGTGGTACCTGACCTTCGCCTTTCATCTTCCTAGCTCTGTACTCACCTCTAGCCTTCTGCCCCATTGATCATTCACAATTTTAATCTACACGTCATTGGTGACTGTGGCTTCAGCTTTATGGGGAGGCAACAGCCTGGTGGTATAATCGCTGCACTGTTAGTCCAGAGACCTAGGTAAAGTTCCAGGGATCCGGGTCTGAATCCTGCTAAAGCAGAGGGTGGAATTTGAATTAAATAAAAATCTGGAATTAAAGTTCTAATGATGATCATGAAACCATTGTCAATTGTGGGAAAATCCCATTTGATTCACTAATTCCTTTAGAGAAGGAAATCTACCATCCTTACGTGGTCTGGACTACATATGACTTCAGACCCACAGTAATGCAGTTTACTTTTAACTGTCCTCAGGGCAATTAAAGATGGACAAAAAGTACTGGCCTAGCCAGTGATGCCCTCATCCCATGAATGAACAAAAACAGAGGCCCTAATGTAGAATTCTCTCCTTATTTCTGTTTGCCTCTCCTAGCCCCTCCTCCTTCGTTATTTTCCTCCTTTAAGTTTTTCCTTAAGCCCTTCCTCTGTGACCAAGCTGTCTGTGTTACGTGTTGCTTCAGTGAACACCTTGCAAAATTTAATTATGGTGAAGGTACTGTGTATGGGAAAGAATTGGCCTGCTCAGTGTCGCTTTCTTGGGGGAGAAAAAAGACTGAGGGGTGAGCTAATTAAAATTACACAGTTATTTTAATGGGATGGCTGAGAGATGATAGTTCCTTTTGTGGGCAAGAGCATAGCCTCATGGCCTTGGATATAAGAATATATATATTCCAATAGGGAATTAAAAAGAAACCTCTTCACCCGGTGAGTAGTTGAAGTGAATAGTGTAGATTCATTTCAAGAGAAACTATACAGCAGTTGAGGGACATGGAGCAGAGGGTTACAAATGTGAATTTATATGAGAAAAAAGGAAGACCTTCAAGTGGACCATAATCACCAGCACAGATTAGTTGGGCTGAATGGATTATTTCTGTGTTATATATCCCATGTAATCCATGTTGTTGTCCGATCAATGTATGGCTGATGCTGTTAACATTTATCAGCCAGCTTTTAGCTTGCAGCTATGAGATCCATGTAGAGAATTAAACGACTGAGGTTTACAGCTCAGATGAAGTCATTATGCATGTTGTGCCTGCGACAGCTGTGGGTTAGAATAATCCAGATACTGATCCCCCTGCCCGTGCTGTCTGCATGGTCCGTTTTTTAGTGTTCAATTTCTGGTATTTTTTCTCTGGCTCGTACTCAGCCCGATTTTGGAACAGCAGTCAAAATCCACCGTTCCCTTCATCTGCTTAACGGTCATTGTGGCTTAATCTTATGAAGAGATCATGTCTCTTGAATGTTTCTGAGGGGACAAGTTAACCGAAACCCTGAGGAATTCACTCATGTATTCGTGACCATGTTGTTTCACCAACTCTGATCAATATACTTGCTCCAGTTTGTGGACGGCACGGTGGCTCAGTGGTTAGCATTGCTGCCTCACAGTACCAAGGACCCGGATTTAATGCCACCCTTGAGGGACTGTCTATGTGGAGTTTACACATTCTCCCCATGTCTGTGTGTGTTTCGTCTGGCTGCTCCAGTTTCCACCCACAGTCCAAAGATGTGCTGGTTAGGTGGATTGGCCATGCTAAATTGTCCCATACTGTCCAGGGATGTGTAAGTTAAGTGGCTTAGCCATGGGAAATACACGGTTACAGAGAAAGGGTAGGAGGGTGGGTCTGGGTGGGCTGCTCTTTGGAGGAACAGCATGGACTCAATGAGCGGAATGGCCTGTTTTCACATTGTAGGGATTATATGATTGAAGAGCCCATTGAATGACCCATGAAGACCAGCTACAGTCATTATAGAGCTAAAAACAAGTTTTGTTTTGATTTTTAAAAGAATTAAATACATTCAAATGCCTTAGACCTCTGCTGCTGGCTGGAAAAGAACAGTCAGAGATAGGGCATACCCTGACAGATGTGCATTGGGACTTTGGAAACTCAAGTTTCTAACTATATGGAAATTGCCGGGAAGGAAGCCTGATGGGCAGTTATGAGACATTTGGAATTGTCTGTAAAGAATTGCCGACTATGATTTAAACTTAGAGACTTTGGAGGGTTCTGAACCCCTTAGCTGAACAGTTAGCTGGGAAGGTTAGAGGAATAACCCACTATAACTCTTAGGTAACTAGAAAACTGAAACCCTAACCTGCAATCACTGATATTGATTCCCCACCATACCAGAAAGCCTACGTGACTCCACACCACAGCACCTCTGCCAGTACACAACCAAACCCCTCTCTTTCCCCTCGACTACATCCAAAAGCTGACCCTGACCTGGCCCACCCTGACCCCTGATCCAGTGTACACTTCCAGCCAATTCACCTGTGGCTCCACTTTTTAGCAAAATATGGAGGATTTGCAATAAAAATTAAGAGCATTACAGTTTTATCCACCTTGTGAAGCATGAACACGATTGAAATTGTCATAGTTGCGGGATGAGTGTGCAGAGTGAGAGTGTTGACACATGGAATAGCTGAGATTGTTTTCTCCCCAGGGTTTACCATTTCAAAGTTTTTCAAACTTTGTTCAGCCATTAGAACAAGACAATTGTAAATTGAGGGGAGAAGAAGCATCTTCTCATTGACTGGGAAAAGGCCAGCTCTGGATAATTAATGTTTATCATATTAATTAAATATGAAACAGCTACATCAAAGCAAGGAAAAGACACCTAGCCCCTCCTCCTATGCTATAAGATTTTAACATTCAGGGGAGAAATCTGCCATGCTCACCCAGTCTGGCCTACATGTAAGTCTGGATCAGCTCACAACATCGAGGTTGACTTGTATCTGCTCTCTAAAATGGCACAGCAAGTCATTGATTTCATTGAAAATTTGGGATGGGCGGCAATGCTGGCCTTGCCAGTGATGTCCACATCTCATAAAAGAATAAAAGAAGTTTGATAATCTAATCTTGCTCACCAAGGTACACTTTAAGGTCTCAATTCTATAACTCTGATTTTTTAATCCTGCAGGTTGCCATCTCCAAGCGTTATAATATTCCAGGAAGCCAGCTGAGGATTTACTTTCATTATCAGCCCTCCTACTACCACCTCCACATTCACTTTACTGCTCTTAGCTATGATGCTCCAGGAACCATAGTGGAACGTGCACATCTACTTTCCAGCGTCATAGAGAACCTGCAGACTGACCCAGAGTACTACCAGAAGCGAACATTAACTTTTGCTTTGAAGGCTGATGACCCACTTCTGCAACGGTTCAAAGAGGCAGGAAGGGTGAAGGAGAGAGATTATTTGTTCACATAGTCAGTCTTTGCAGCCTGTGTTCTTTGAACTGAATCAGCCTAGAATCTCTCTCTCTCTGACACACACACACACACACACACACACACACACACACACACACGTTGCGCCGGGTTACACTGGTTTAAAAGCACCCACACTGGCAACAGAAAGCTTTTTCAGTGAGCAGACCATCAGTCTGACCTTCATTCACTCAGAACATAGATCTTCAAAAGGTTTCATTTGAACAAAATGAATGTTGTTGCTATGGCATTGAAATGTTCCTTGCTATAAATTAGAGAGAGACTAGACTAAAATCCGTCTGTGTGGCTTTAAGAAAAAAAAGGAAGTGAATTTGTTTTGTCTGTGCAATCAGGCATGACCTTTTGATCTCCATCATGGTACTCTTAGAATAGAAGCTGGCAGGGGTAGGGTCGGGAAAGAGGATAGAAAGATGCAGGCATTTGTAAACTGATGCAAAACTCAGCCAAGATTGTTCAATCAAATTTTCATTGTAGTTTGCTCATGCAGAAACGCATGGAAATCTTTGTTCTGAATAAGCAGAGGTTATGCTGGGTGAAGACTGCTTAATGGAGCTATCCCCACTATTTGTGCTTCTAAACCAGGGCAACCCACTCAGCATATGTTTGCTTTTGTGTGGGTGGATCCAGATTCTTGATGTTCGTTTTCCTGTCATGGAGGATTTCCTGCTTCCTGTATGGAAAAAATCTGTGAACTTATTTATAAAGAAATTGTTAACAGATTCCCTAATAGTATAGTAATTCTATGTACCCCACCCCTCCCCCCCCACCCTTTGAACACCCTGAGTTTTGCTGAGAAATATCCCACAGATAGCGTCAGCACTTTGGCTGTTTTTCACGTGCAAATCAATATATAGGTGATGCTGTGCTGATCAATCAAAGGGATGTCACACTCTTCTCGGGTCATCAGGCAAAGTACACACTTCCACACCTTCCATTAGATGGCAGTGGAAGTGAGAGTTGCATTTGTTTTCTTCCTTCACCAAATCTTCCCTTTGCCAGTGGCCAGCAGCTGAGGAGGTGCCCAGCCAACTCAACACAGAGCGGTCATTTCAGAAAGTGTTAACAGTATAGGGCGGCACAGTGGCTCAGTGGTTAGCACTGCTGCCTCATAGCGCCAGGGACCCAGGTTCGATTCCACCCTTGGGTGACTGTCTGTGTGGAATTTGCACATTCTTCCCGTGTCTGCATAGGTTTCCTCCAGGTGCTCTGGTTTCCTCCCACAGTCCAAAGATGTACAGGCTAGGTGGATTGGCTGTGCTAAATTGCCCTGTAGCGTTCAGAGATGAGTAGATTAGGTGGGTTATGGGGGGATGGGTCTGGGTGGGATGCTCTGAGGGTCGGTGTCGCCTGTTTCCACACTGTCGGGATTCTATGATTCTGTGATGAGAATGTCAGCCAGGCAAGCAGCAGCTACTTCATCAAATTGGCCTCTCTCTCCTGCTGACCCAAACATCATGATGGCACACTTTCTGCCTCCTTCCACAGCACCCTTCAGTTGCATGATCTCCTGGTATATGTCTCTCGCGCTGGGAGACTTAGAAACCATTGCAGTGGTTCGTTACTCTATTTATAAAGTATAGTGTATCTTTGGGTATCTCAGTAGCTCATACTGATGACTGGCTATTACACTGCTGCCAGGAGTTTGCTACAGAATGCCTTTCTATTGGAAACAGAAAGCCCCCTTTCCAATAGAGAAACTCTTGGCCTCCAGCTGATTCAATACTTTGCTGGTTTGTGTTTATTTACCTTCCCATCTGGGGGAATTGCCAGTGTATGCTCATCTGGGACATGGATTTTAATTTTAAGAATAGTTTAGAAAGAGGTTCAACAATGCCAGCTGAGAATCTGTGGTTTCCTTTTTTGGCAGCTTTGTTCTCTTTTGTTTTCTCATCCCCTGAAGATGCTTCCTTTGGGTGAGGTACTGTGACCCAATCATCAGTATCTTTCCTATACTTCAATGGTGCGTGACCCTACACAGTATGTGTTGGTGAGTAAATCAAAAGAAGGAATAAAAAGCCAGATCTTCATGGACATGCATTTCCTGACAGGGTAATTTGGCAGATATCAGGACTAAGGGCCATGGTAAGCTTTCTTCCCTCAGGACATTTGTAGATCCCAGTCCCTCTTCTGCCTGAGAATCTGAATGTTCCAGGTAGCAGGAAGCAAACCCAAGACCTCCTGCTCTCTATGGCTCAGTGGAGCATTTACCCAGCAGAGTACCTAGAGATCTGACCTGCCTTTTCCTCCACCAAACCCCAAACCCAAATACTTGTTAAAATCATAAGTAGGTGTATTATAAATTAATACAATCAGAATGGGAGCTTTTTGATATATTGATGGTTATAAATTTTTAAATGCAGCTTTACAGGAAGTTAAAGATCAATAAACATTTTGAACAAATAAACCCACTTGTGTACACTTCCTTCCTAACTACCATTGCTGCAATGTGCCTGCTGTCTAATTTCCTATTGTGTAAAAATGTGACACTGTTGAGAAGTTCAGATGTCACTATAAAGTGGAAGAATAAAGTTTGACCTTCTACAGATGATGCCTGACTTGCCTGATGCACAAATCTAATCCTGGACCTTGGTAACGTTTAGCTGTGAGAATACAGGTCAAGGATGTGAAGAGGTCATTCAACCCTTCAATGTTTGTCCCTCTAGTACTGAGCAATGAACCTTCAGCCGTGCACAAAGCAGCAATCATGAAGATATTGAGGTATTGAAGTTGCAGCCTTGAGTTTATGTGTCGTAGTTATCTCCCTCTCAAAGTCCTTGCAACTGTATTTATATTCTCATTTAACTTTGGAAGATTTTGAAAAGGCATTTCTTGCCTATTGCACCTCTTTTAGGTAAGAAAATTATAATTCCCAACAGCCGGATCTGTTTGTATAGCACCTGGACATATATGCCAGTCAAGGTACACATCAAAGAGTCCCACAGAGATAAAATCATAGAATCCCTACAGTGTGTAAGCAGCCATTTGGCCCATTGAGTCCACATGGACCCTCTGAAGAACATCTCACCCAGAGTCAACCACCCCCCCCACCCTATCCCTGCATTTACCAAGACCAACCCACCTAGTCTGCATATCTTTGGACTGTGGGAGAAAACTGTAGCATCTGGAAGAAACCTATGCAGACATGGGGAGAATGTGCAAACTCCACATGCTCTGCCTGAGGCTGTAAACACACCTGGTTCCCCTCCGTTAATTCATGATGCCCTCGATTGCTTCTCCTGCATTTCCCGCGCTTCTGCCCTCAAACGCCCTCCCCTCAAAAAAATAAAGGCAGAGTCCCCCTGATCCTCACATACCACCCCAACAACCTCCACATCTAGCGCATCTTTTTCCGGCACATACAATCTGACCACAACCAAAAAGATATTTTCCTCTCCACTGCTATCCGCTTTTTGTAGGAACTGCTCACAGTGTGATTCTCTCGTCCACTTGACACTCCCCAACAATCTCATCACACCCGGCACCTTTCCCTGTAACCACAGGAGGTACTAAACCTGCCCCTACACCTCCCCCCTCACCTCCATTCAAGGCCCCAGACAACCTTTCCAAATCTGACGGGTTCACCCGTACGTCCATTGCTCCCAATGTGGCCTCCTCTACGTCGGTGAGACCAAGCATAGACTCAGAGACCGTTTCATAGAGCATCTGCGCACTGAACGCGACAAACGACAACACTTTCCGGTAGTCAACCATTTTAACTTCCCCTCCCACTCCCTGGGTGATATGCCCATCCTGGGCTTCCTCCAGTGTCACAATGACGCCACCCACAAACTGGAGGAGCAGCACCTCATATTCCGCCTCAGGAGCCTACAGCCCGATGGCCCAAACATGAAATTCACCATTTCAACATCTTCCCACCCTCATCCTCATCCCACGTCCAACCTTCCCTCTCGTCACTGCCTCCTTGACCTGACACTACCTGTCCATTTTCTTCCCCACCTATCTGCCCCACCCTCCCCACTGACTAATCTCCACTAGTCCCTACCTAACACCATCCCACCTACCTCCCCCAGCCTCACCACCCACCATTTATTTCCCAGCTCTCTTCCCTCTCCCCAATCCTGATGAAGGATGTAAACCCGAATCATTGACTTTCCTGCACCTATGATGCTGCCTGATCTGCTGTGTTCTTCCAGCTCCATACTGTGTTGACTCTGAGTCCACCATCTGCAGTTCTTGCTATCTCCTAACCACAGCCACTATGCCACCCAAAAGGGTTGGACACACCTGCTTCAGCCCCCTAAATCTTTTGTTAAAATCCATGCCTTTATTCCCTGAATGTTCCAATTGAAGTCCATCCCTCTGGTACCTTAACAGTTGCATCAAAGCCTATTCAGCAGTTTCTTTGACTGAAATAGTAGTATCCACATCCATAATATTTAACCTTTATTTGTATGGAAAATAATGGAGGACATGTTCTCCCTCTGAACTGCAAAATCATAAGGCCCTAAAACCATGATGTGACTTTAATCTGTAAGGTATGAATAGCCAAAATTCAACACAATGTGTTAAGGTCATCTATGTAGGTATGAAGAGCTTAACTGAAGAGAAGTGTGAATCAGCTGAACTTTGGCTTATAATAAGACTAGATGTAACATCATCACAGACAATGTTGCAAAGTAGCAGCCATTGCTTAATACAATTAAAAGCCTGGAAAAGGAGCATTCACACATCCATTCATCCTGGTGTCAGGTGTCCCCCACATTGCAATAGGGATTGTCCTACTTTCTGTCATGAAAACTACATTATGTCCACACTGTCTTGACCAGGGCATGGAACTAACCAAGGGTAAAGTGGGTGTTAAACCCTGGATGATTCAGCAGAATGACAGAAGATGTACTTGTGATATTATGACATGAATCATCATGAAAGGAGGTCAGCACTGGAAGTTACTCACTGTGTGAGTGATGATAAGATGCAGTCAAATTGTGGTGGAGTTTGAACCGATAATTCCTGTCAGTTCAAATTAACTTGTACAGGTTTTGTTTTAATTGTTGGTTTTCTATAAAATTCCAAGACAAATGAAAGGCAGATTAGTTCTAGAGAGGGAAAGTTGTCAGGTCAATAAATGAATGAATACAAAGTTGAGCCAAACTTTATGTCTTGAGGTTTTTGCATGTGCAATTTCTGATGTCAAGAAGTCAAAGGACTGTTAAATACAAGGAGGGATGTGTGAGCTAAATGGACATGGATATGAATGGGAACCTTTTCAATGGTTCCAAATGGCTGAGCAAGACTTTCAGCTGGAGGGCACTTAAGGAAAGGCAACAAATGCTGGTCTTGGCAGCAATGCTCATATCAATAAAGGAAAGCATCAACAAGCAAGACAAGCAACTCAAGGAGTATCTACAAGTCCTCTTTATGCTGTACAATGTTTATACTGCACAGCCATACTGTAGAGTGAGATAACAAGGTGTACAGCTGGATCAATACAGCAGGCCAAGCAGCATCAGAGGAGCAGGAAGGCTGACATTTCAGGTCGAGACCCTTCTTCAGAACCCGAAACGTCAGCTTTCCTGCTCCTCTGACGCTGCTTGGCCTGCTGTGTTCATCCAGCTCTACACCTTGTTATCTCAGATTCTCCAGCATCGGCAGTTCCTACTATCCCTATACTGTAGAGTGTTTTGGTTTTACCTGTTCACCAATCCTGTTTTGGCCATGGACTGTCCATGACACATGAAGAGTGATACAGAAACATGAACGGTAATCCTCATCCCATGGGCTAGTCTTGCACACCTTCGCCCATTTATAACTAACCTGTTCTGAAACCCTATCGAAATTGAAATAACCTCAGATGTTCAAAATCAGAACATAGCTGGAAAAGTTCAGCAGGTCTAGCTGCATCTGTGGAAATAAATTAGTGTTAACGTCTCAGGACCTGAAACATTAACTCTGATTTCTCTCCACGGTAATTTCTGTTTTTGTTCTGACATCTTGATCTAGTTTCAAACTAAATGACTCCGCTGCTGCAAAATCTTCTACAAAAGAAGTATTTTTCTTGCTATCTATTCTATGTCCTTTTTATTTCATAACATAAGAACATAAGAACTAGGAGCAGGAGTAGGCCATCCGGCCCTTTGAGCCTGCTCCGTCATTCAATAAGATCATGGCTGATCTTTTCATGGACTCAGATCCACTTACCCGTGTTCTCACCGTATCCCTTAATTCTTTTATTGTTCAAAAAAAATCTACCTTATCTTTAAAAACCTTTACTGAAGTAGCGTCAACTACTTCACTGGGCAAGGAATTCCACAGATTAACAACCCTCTGGGTGAAGAAGTTCCTTCTCAATTCAGTCCTAAATCTGCTCCCTCTAATCTTGAGGCTATGCCCTCTTGTCCTAGCTTCACCTGCCAATGGAAACATCCTCTCTACTTCTATCTTATCTATTCCCTTCATAATTTTGTATGTTTCTATAAGATCCCCCTTCAATCTTCTGAATTCCAATGAATATAACCCCAATCTACTCAGTCTCTCCTCATAAGCCAAGCCCCTCAACTCCAGAATCAACCTAGTGAACCTCCTTTGCACCCCCTCCAGTGCCAGTACATCCTTTCTCAAGTAAGGAGACCAAAACTGCACACAGTACTCCAAGTGTGGCCTCACCAGCACCTTGTACAGCTGCAACATAACCTCTCTGCTTTTAATCTCCATCCCTTTAGCAATGAAGGACAAAATTCCATTTGCCTTCCTAATTACTTGTTGTACCTGCAGACCTACATTCTGTGATTCATGCACATCCTACATCTATGCCCCATAGTCCAAGACCTTCAATCTCTTGATAGTTTTACAAATTCCATCATAATTGTACATATCCTTATCCGATCATTCCTTAATCTGTTCGGTAATAGAGCAAGATGGAGGTGGGGTAGAGCTCCAGAGCCCTGAGCTCGTCCACGCTGTCTGCTTTTTGTTTTGTTCTTCTTGCTTCCTCGTTTTTTTTATTCTTGTGTTTTGTGAAGAACTCGGTAGCAGCAACGGCATTGGTGGCAGTGATGTGAGCCCAGTGTGGATTCGTGGTGGAGGCATCGCTTGGGGGACGGGGTGTGGGGGGTGTTGAGTTTGGGTTCCCTGAGTCTTCTACATCGAAGAGGTGGGCCCAGCATTGATCCATGGCTGCAACGGCTGAGGGGGATGGGGTGTTGGGGGGGTGGGGTGGTGTGGGGAGTTGAGTTTGAGTTCCCTGAGGCTTCTACGTCGACGAGGTGGGCCCAGTGTTGACCCATGGCTGCAACGGCTGAGGCATCTGCACCCAGCACGGGTTCAGGGAGGTGGGTTTGGGCTCAGCACAGGACCCGGCTGCATTGGTGAGAGGTGGGCCCAAAACAGACTCCCGGTGAGTTTGGGTCGGTGCAAGACCCGGTGGAATCGGTGGCGTCCGCATTG